TTCGGCTGGACGGAAGGGCGTAGGCATGGATGTTCAGCGGGGAGTGGGAATGGGAGGGTGGTTTGTTTGCCGTTGGTGACTTGTTGATTTGCGACTGTGTAGATGCGTGGAAGGTCGTTTGGCCTTTTGGGTTTTAGGATGTGAGTGGGGCGCATTGGGCGAGAAAATTGGAATGGCTTCGCCTTCCAGCCGCTGTGCCCTTTGTGGGTGCGAGTCGGGCCTTCGCAGCTGCGCAGTGTGGTTGTGTTGTGGTTCACTGGTGTGTGGAAGGGGGTGTTTGGATGCGTGCGCATGAGAAGCTGTGTTTGTATTGGAGGAGTCGGGCATAGATTTTGGAGGAAAGGCGGCCGGTCTGTGGTGCCTTACGGGTGTTAGCGTTTTCAGCCGAATCGCTGTTGCAGTGCGTGTTGGTGCTGCAGCAAGCAGGCCGGGGCTGCTGAGAAGGGTTCGGAATTTGTGACAATGAGGGTAAGTTCTGGAGCTGGTGTTGGTGGGGAGTGATGTGCTCGTTCGGCTGGACGGAAGGGCGTAGGCATGATTTTCAGCGGGGAGTGGGAGTGGGAGGGTGGTTTGTTTGCCGTTGGCTGTGTAGGTGTGTGGAAGGGTGTTAGGCTTTTTGGGTTTTAGGATGTGAGTGGGGCGCATTGGGCGAGAGGAGTGGAATGGCTTTGCTTTCCAGCCACTTTGCCGTTTGACTCGTGAGGCAGGACTTCCCAGCTGCACGGTGTGGATGCGTTGTGGTTCACTGGTGTGTGTAGGGGGCTGCTCGGATGCGTGCAAATGAGAAGCTGCGTTTGTATTGCAGGAGTGGGGCATTCGTTTTGGAGGAGAGGCGGCCGGTCTGTGGTGCCTTGCGGGTGTGAGCGTTGTCAGTTGGATCGCAGTTGCAGTGCGTGTTGGTGCTGCATCAAGCAGGGCGGGGCTGTTGTGAGGGGATTGAAGTTTGTGGCAATGAGGACACGCACTGGATCTGGTGTTGGTGGGCAGTGATTTGCTGGTTCGGTTGGACGGAAGGGCGTAGGCATGCATGTTCAGGGGCGAGTGGGAGTGGGAGGGTGGTTTGTTTGCGGTTGGAGACTTGTTGATTTGCTGCTGTGTAGGTGCGTGGAAGGGTGTTAGGCGTTTTGGGTTTCAGGAGGTAAGTGGCGCGCATTGGGCGAGAGAATTGGAATTGTTTCGCTTTCCATCCGCTTTGCTGTTTGAACCCAGAGGCAAGGCAGGCGTTTGCAACTGCACAGTGTGGTTGTGTAGTGCTTCCCTGGTGTGTGTGGGGGGCCGCTAGGATGCGTGCCGATGGAAAGTTGTGTTTGTATTGCAGGAGTGGGGCATAGGTTTTGGAGGAGAGGCGGCCGGTCTGTGGTGCATTGTGAGTGTCCGCATTGTCAGTTGGATCGCAGTTGCAGTGCGTGTTGGTGCTGCAGCAAGCAGGGCGGAGCTGTTGAGAAGGGTTCGGAATTTGTGACAATGAGGATACGTGCTGGAGCTGGTGTCGGTGGGCAGTGATTTGCTGGTTCGGCTGGACGGAAGGGCGTAGGCATGCGTGTTCAGGGGCGTGTGGGAGTGGGAGGGTGGTTTGTTTGCGGTTGGTGACTTGTTGATTTGCGACTGTGTAGGTGCGTGGAAGGGTGTTAGGCGTTTTGGATTTCAGGATGTGAGCAGTGCGCATTGGGCAAGAGAATTGGAATGGCGTCGCTTTCCAGACGCTTTTGCTGTGAGTCATGAGGCAGGACCTCGCAGCTGCACAGTGTGGTTGTGTAGTGCTTCGCTGGTGTGTGTAGGGGGCCGCTAGGATGCATGCAAATGAGAAGCTGCGTTTGTATTGCAGGAGTGGGGCATAGGTTTTGGAGAAGAGGTGGCCGGTCTGTGGTGCCTTGCGGGTGTGAGCGTTGTCAGGTGGATCGCAGTTGCAGTGCGTGTTGGTGCTGCAGCAAGCAGGGCGGGGCTGTTGAGGATGGTTCGGAATTCGTGACAATGAGGACACATGCTGGAGGTGGTGTTGATAGGCAGTGATGTGGTGGTTCGGCTGGACGGAAGAGCGTAGGCATGCATGCTCAGTGGAGTGTGGGAGTGGGAGGGTGGTTTGTTTGCCGTTGGTGACTTGTTGGTTTGCTGCTGTGTAGGTGCGGGGAGTTGTGTTCGGCGTTTTGGGTTTTAGCTAGTGAGTGGGGCGCTTTAGGCGAGAGAAGTGGAATGGTTTCGCGTTCCAGCCGCTTTGTCCTTTGGTGTGGGAAGCAGGCTTTGCCAGCTGCGCAACGTGGTTGTGTTGTGGTTCGCTGGTGTGTGTAGGTAGGCGTTTGGATGCGTGCAAGTGAGAAGCTGTGTTTTTATTGCAGGAGAGGGACATAGGTTTTGGAGGAGAGGCGGCCTGTCTGTTGCGAGCTTGAGGGTTGTCAGTTGGATCGCAGTTGCAGTGCGTGTTGGTGCTGCATCAAGCAGGCCAGCGCTGTTGAGGATGGTTCGGAATTTGTGACAATGAGGATACGTGCTGGAGCTGGTGTTGGTGGGCAGTGATTTGCTGGTTCGGCTGGACGGAAGGGAGCAGGCATGCGTGTTCAGCGGAGAGTGGGAGTGGGAGGGTGGTTTGTTTGCGGATGGTGACTTGTTGATTTGCGGCTGTGTAGGTGCGTGGAAGGGTGTTTGACGTTTTGGGGTGTAGCTAGTGAGTCGCACGTATTTGGCGGCAGAAGTGGAATGGCTTTGCTTCACAGCCACTTTGGCGTTTGTGGGTGCGAGGCAGGACTTCGCAGCTGCGCAGTGTGGTTGTATTGTGTTTTGTTGGTGTGCGTAGAGGGACGTTTGGATGTGTGCAAGTGAGAAGCTGTGTTTGTGGCCCAGGAGTGGGTCATGGGCATAGGGTTTGGAGTAGAGGCGGCCGGTCTGTGGTCCGTTGCGGGTGTGAGCGTTGTCAGTTGGATCGCATTTGCTGTGCGTGTTGGTGCTACAGCAAGCAGGGCGGGGCTGTTGAGAAGGGTTCGGAGTTTGTGACAATGAGGATACGTGCTGCACTTTGTGGTGGCAGCCAGTGAGCCGCTGGTCCGGCTGGACGGAAAGGCGTAGGCATGCGTATTCAGCGGAGAGTGGAAGTAAGAGGGTGATTTGTTTGCCGTTGGAGACTTGTTGATTTGCGGCTGTGTAGGTGCGTGGAGGGGAGTTAAGCGTTTTGGTGTTTAGGATGTAAGTGGCGTACATTGGTCGAGAGAAGTGGAATGGCTTCGCTTTGAAGCCGCTTTGCCGTTAGTGGGTGCGAGGCAGGCCTTCACAGCTGCGCAGCTTGGTTGTGTTAAGGTGCGCTGGTGTTTGCAGTTGAATCGCAGTTGCAGTATGTGTTTTTGCTGCAGCAAGTGGGGCGGGGCTGTTGTGAGGGGATTGGAATTTGTGTCTATGAGGATACGTGGTGGAGCTGTTGCTGGTGGGCAGTGATTTGCTGGTTCGGCTGGACGGAAGGGTGTAGGCATGCGTGTTCAGCGGAGAGTGGAAGTAGGAGGGTGGTTTGTTTGCCGCTGTTGACTTGTTGATTTGCGGCTGTGTAGGTGCGTGGAAGGGTGTTTCACATTTTGGATTTTAGCTGGTGAGTGGCGCGCATTGGGCGAGAGAAGTGGAGTGGCGGAGCTTTCCAGCCGCTTTACGCTTTAGGATGCGAGGCAGGCCTTCACAGCTGCGCAGTGTGGTTGTGTTGTGCTTCGTTGGTCTGCGTAGGGGGACGTTTGGATGTGTTCAAATGAGACGCTGTGTTTGTGGTCCAGGAGTGGGCCCTGGGCATAGGGTTTGGAGTAGATGCGGCCAGTCTGTGGTGCCTTGCGGGTGTCAGCGTTTTCAGCCGGGTCGCTGTTTTTGTTTGTGTTGGTGCTGCAGCAAGCAGGGCGGGGCTGTTGAGAAAAGTTCGGAATTTGTGCCAATCAGGACACGTGCTGGAGCTGGTATTGGTGGGCAGTGATTTGCTGGTTCGGCTGGACGGAAGGGCGTAGGCATGCATATTCAGTGGAGAGTGGTAGTGGGAGGGTGGTTTGTTTGCGGTTGGTGACTTGTTGATTTGCGGCTGTGTAGGTGCGTGGAGGGGTCTTATGCATTTTGAGGTTTAGGAGGTGAGTTGCGCGAATTGGGCGGGAGAAGTGGAATGGCTTCGCTTTCCAGCCGCTTTGCCGTTTGGGGCTTTCAAGACAGGCCTTCGCAGCTGCGCATTGCGGTTGTGTTATGGTTCGCTGGTGTGTGGAAGGAGGTGATCGGATGCGTGCGCATGAGAAGCTGTGTTTGTATTGCAGGAGTGGGGCATAGGTTTTGGAGGAGAGGCGGCCGGTCTGTGGTGCCTTGCGGATGTAAGCGTTGTCAGTTGGATCGCAGTTGCAGTGC